AGTAGCAGTAGCAGTAGCAGCAGCAGGAGCAGTAGCAGTAGCAGTAGCAGTAGTAGCAGCAGTGGTAGTGGCAGTGGCAGTGGCAGTGGCAGTGGCAGTGGCAGTGGCAGTGGCAGTGGCAGAGGCAGAGGCAGAGGCAGAGGCAGAGGCAGAGGCAGAGGCAGAGGCAGAGGCAGAGGCAGAGGCAGAGGCAGAGGCAGTCGCAGTGGTAGTGGTGGTGGTAAGTAGTGGTAGTGGTGGTCGCAGCAGCAGCAATGAACTCAAGAATTCTAGACCTGGCACCCTCATCACGTCCCTCAACTCTAACCAACGAACCCCACATCTTCAGAGCCTTCCCCCGCAAGCACACCCAAGGCTCTCTCAGTGGCCGAGGCACTGCACGTCGTAGTTTTCAAAAGGCTCGCCCCAGGCCTCAGCAGGCTTGGGCGAGTAGGGCTTGGGGCTTCGGGGTGGTCTGTGAATTACGGCTTTATTGAGGCCTCAGGCTTGGGTTAGTAGGCTTTATGTGTAATAAGGACTAGAGGCTTTAGGGTTCAGGGAGGTTCGAGCTCGGGGAATACGGGGCCTGACGAGATATAGGTTGGAGGGCTAAGGGGAGTTATTAGGGTCCATTGGGTTGATTGAGGCTTAGGGCGTACAGGGTGGTGAAAAAAGAGGCAAGAGAGGTCTACGATGTGGATCGCTGCCTTTGCCTTGTGAGACATTCCGTACCCTCAGAGTCTAAACCATTCAGGCGAAGGCTTTTGGACCCGTAGCAGTTGAAGGCTCGTTGAACGCAAGCTCCGAAATCCAAATCGAAGAACCAGAGGAAAGTGCAGCCAGGCCTTGCCACTGTTATTGACCAGGGCATGCAACTTTCCTGCAGGAAGCAAGCCTACTACAGAGGTGGTTCCTGTGTTTGGGAGCCACAGTTTTGCGCTGTCATGTCTACGATTTGCCATTTCGTAGCTGCCCTGCCGGTCCACTGCACAGAGGGCCGACATTTCTGCTTCGCTGGGTGTTAAGGAAGAGCTTTTCAGACAGACACACAGCCAGACACACAGCCAGAGAGAGAGAGAGAGAGAGAGCGAGAGTGGGAGTGGGAGACAAAAAAAGAGACAAAGCGAAAGAGAGGCTGCCAGGTCCGAACCCAACACCCCACACACCAAGGGCTTGCGGCCTATGCGGCCATTGCGTTTTGACCATAGCAACTTATGTTGAGGGCTCAGGGTTCAAGATCGTGGGTTGAGGCTGCAGTTGGCCTTCTGCGAACCCCTCGGAGAGGCCCTTGTCCAGCTACAGTTTCTGTAGTTCTACTTGATGACTGCCAGCATTGCCTCTTCTGCCGTAGCTCTAAACCCTAAACCCTAATCCCTGAACCCTAAACCCTAATCCCTCGAATCAGAACCCAAGGCATAGAACCGGAATTCCCTGTAAGTTATTCCTCAGAAACCCTCGACCGGCAGGCCCACAAGGTTCAAGTCTAAGTCTCATGACCTATCTGTTTACCTAAGTATCTAACTATCTATCTACCTACCTAGCCAGCGATCGATCTATCGATCTATCGATCGATCGATCTATCTATCTATCTATCTATCTATCTATCTATCTAGCGTCTATATGTCCATCTATCTATCTAGCGTCTATCTGTCCATCTACCTGTCCATCTATCTATCTATCGAACTTATCAA